TGACGTCACGGACATCGACGTCACCGGACTCCTCCCCCCCTTCCCTTCGTTAGCCGACGGAGCCACTTGGGGAAGGGTGGAGAAGTCTCTCCGACGGGATCTCCGACGGGACTCATGTACGACCCGGAAGCCGGCGGAGAGGTGAGTACAGATCAAAAGAATTTTAATCAATCAAAAAAATTAACGATTCATTGAGGAATTAATCGTTAATTTCCACAGCCCTAGTTTAAAGTCGGTTTGTTTTTCTCTCTGTGTCCGTTGGGGAAATTTTCCTTCACTTCCTGTCCTAGAGATGCAAAAGGAGGTAATTGGAAATCTCTATAAAGTGAATGGAATTCCCGCCTTGCAAATTTTGACACTGGAACAGGTGTCCCATTTTTGGAAGATTTCTCCTCACCTTTTCTTTTGGTCACAACTAAAACATTTTGAATTGTCACTGGTCGTTTGGTGATGGTAGTCATCAGGACAAATAATAAGGATACATCTACCTGGCAGGAACACAAAAATTAAAAAAAATGTTTAGGCTGGACATATACTTTAGCTTTAGTTCTCTTTTGGGTCAAAGGAGTAGATATACTAATGTATTCCTGTGGTCCAAAGTAAGCATCTAGCAGGCTATTTGCTGACAATGCAGAGCTGCCGCCAGGAAAGATCCCAACAATTTTGTTGGCATCCACCGCACTGCCTGATTGGCAGCTGACTTTGTCTCTCTAGAGCCAGAGCCAGCTGTGCCATCCCCTTCCTTGTCTGTCACTTCAATGTGCACTGGAGGAACAGACAGGGGAGGGGGAAATCCCTGAGAGGAGCAGTAACTGAAAGTCACCACTCTCTGCAGGGAGAAGACCGGTCTATAGAGCCAGCTCTCGGTCTATCTTCAGCATTGTAATAGGAATACATACAGGAGTTGTTTTTGATAATAGAATCAAAGCTTATTTGAAAAAATCCCATTTATGTAGTGAGTGCTGGCTTCTATCTGCCTATCACTTTCTACAACTTTCTGGATTCCCAGTGTGCTTTGCAACTCTTTTCCTGATGCTTGATATGATGCAGTTTCAATTTCTCAAGACGAAATAGCCCATCATGCATTGCTGCAAACAAACGATGCTAATGTTGCTGTTCAGACGTTGAGCTGTAGTTCTGAAGGCAGACTCTGTTAGAGCTGTGACACAAGGAAGTGCGTATTCACAGGTCTGAGTGAAATTGTGTCAGTGTATTGAGGAAGTACATCCTAGGGGCATCTTCAAACTTCTTGAATGATATGGTTATTGGGAGTGGGATAGAATGTATAGAAATTCAATATAGAAATGCATATTTGTTTTTAGTTTTTGACCATAGATACCCTTTAACTAGTTAGAGGGAGGATGGGTATGTGCAGTGTTTAAAGTATTTCCCTTTTTTGGGTTTGCTAAGTATTGGCCAATGTAGTGGATTGTAATGACTGGTACCCTGCACCAATGAACAGGATAGGATTCCATCTCCTTCTTTGGTGACCTTTGATCTCTTATTGTTATATTTGTCCTATTGTAGTTAAGCTATATATCTAAACGTGGTGAGTGCATGTCTGATATTCCAGTTTTCAGATAAGCTTATTTACCATTATTCTGTGAGTACAAACCTGAATATCTGAATGTCACCATCTATAAACATATACAAATGATTTTATGATTTTTTTAAAAGGTTCACACTTTTTTATCTATAGCCCAAACTTTTTTTTCGTTGTGGATAGAGTAGGACAGGTTTAAAACCCCTGCCAGGTTATTTTTTTGCTTTGTGTCATTGGGGACATTTGCCTTCATTCCCTTTCCTAGACGCATGGCAGGAAGGTAGATGAAATGGGGATATAGAAAGCAATACAAATTTGACCGAGGGTCAAAAGCTGCTCCTTGTTATTCAAAATTAGTAAGAAAGGTTTTGCCTAGAGATACACTTTTAGACCCATCTAAGGATGAGATCCTGTACAGAGTTGGCACTTTTAATCTCCAGCTGTCTGTTCTCCAAAGCGATGCCTGGTTTCTACACCACCATCCTTCTCAGTGCCCGATTAAAATGTTGCGGTTGGCTCCTCTTAGCAGTTTAGTATATCCATTTTTTGCCCATTTACAGCCACAGCCTTCTCTCTGGTCCCTGGATTTTTCATTCTCCCATCTGCCTTTTCCCCTCTTACTAAAATAAGTCATCAACATAATGTAGCCCTGTGTACTGCATGCGAATAAATGTACCTCTCAGTGGATTATGGTTGTTCCTAATCATCTGGTGTTTTACAATATTCCTCTGTCAACTGTTGTCAGTGGGGCAAACACATTATCAGCAGCCTGAGAGTGTCACATAACACTGCCCAAACCTCTTTGCAGGGGTCAATCCTAAAGACTGGGCACTTCCTAGACTGTGGCTTGGTATGGGTCCAGACCTACAGCTGGTCATGCAGAGGATCCACATCCACTGCATTCATACATTAGATTACATTACATAAGCAGCCAATCTTTTTGGTCATTGGTGCTGCCCCTCTTATTTATGTTTTAGTTGGTTAGTAGGTCCACCCATCACAGTGTTGGCCCAATAGTTAAACACATAAGGCTGCAGGGGATTGTTGGGGTCCCAGGGTGCTGTACAGAGAGAGCAGAGGGCAGTATACCACCGCCCAGTGGGGTTTTCCATGTACAGTTACACCCCCCATTCTCCCATAAGTTTGCTCTAAGTTTCTGGTAACACCTAGCAAATATGCTTTCTCACAGATTGCAGGCAATGTATCGGCTGGTAGTTGTCAAAGGGGTAGGATTTATTAACGTACCCTCAGCAAGAAGCATCATGCTGAGTACTGCTAATATACATATTTCAAACAGGAAGGGGCTAAGACCCAAAGTTAGGGTCACAAAAATGTATATGACCAACTTGGACTAAGTGTGGAACATGAGCCATATCCATATTATCCATACAACAATGTAGAGAACTATGCTGGATAGTCTGACAGTTGTTGGCCTGTGGACTGCCTGATCTCATACATTAGGGTTGATTTGCTAGAATTGAGAAAGTTCACTTAGTAAAGTGAATGTTCACTGTGCTTAGTGAATAAGGTAAAGCTGTGTTCACTTCAGTAAACTGATCACATTCTAGGAAACAATGCCATGTTTTTTTTATTACCTTTGCACATGGTTCCCTCTTCAAAGTTTACACAGGGTCCCTTTTTTACTATTAATTAATTTAGCAAAATTAACAGCCTCTACTCCTTAAGGCTCCATTCACATCTATGTGATGTGGGAGTGCTGCGATGCCGCATGCAATCCCTCAACACGTTGCAATGTTGGCTGTGCTGCTATTATACCCTATTGGAACCCCAGCACACCTAGCCAACGTATGTGGATTGTATCGCACCACATTGCATGGTGTACCCTGAGCTTTTTGTTCCATGCATTCGTGTGACCACAACACAACACACCACACCACAATACACCGTGCGATGTTGCATCACGGATGTGATAACAGAGCCTTTGTAAATCAGCATCTTTGTCTCTTGTCATTCCATGCGGGGTGTGAGAGCAGGCAGCTCATAGCAGAGCAACTGTCAGGCTTCAGATTAATTATATAAATGTGGCATTTTGTTTAGTGCCTGCTGCTGATATATATTTTGACACAAGGTGTTCATTAGGTGATTTGTGTCAGACTACAGATGTCTAGTCTTGTCTGATGTGTTAAAAATATTTTTAAATCGTATCAGTTTGCAGTGCATACATAACCTTTCTAACCTCTCATTAAGTACTGATATTTCTTAATATTTCTTCCTTCTTTTTTTTTTTTATTCTAGAACACATGTTGCCAAATATTTTCAAGAAGGGTTTCCTGGAGACTCGAAAAACTCAAGAGAGCTTTTGGAAAAATTGTTATGCTGAGATATCTCAATACAAACTGCACATCTATGGTACTGATAGCAGCGGTAATCACAATGCCATCACTGCTTATCCTCTTGCTAATATAGAAAGCATCACCATTACTGGAAGCCATGAAACCAAACTAGTTGAAGTATTAATGTCAGATAACAGTCAGCTGCAACTGAAAGCAGATTCTGCATGGGAAGCATTGGACTGGGGACAGAAGCTATGGGAAGGAGTACGTGCCTTGACTTTAGTTTCAGATTATATAAGCAATCAGCATGATGTCATGACAAGGTCTAAAAATGTAGCTGATAATAACTGTGACTACTTGGAAAATCAAGCCTTGTCAAACAAGCTCACAGAGCTTTCAAGATCCATGAACTTGACCAATGGCCATCACAAAAACACCTTGAAAACAGGGACCCTTTATCGCTTAACAATCCATAATAACTGGAAGGCATTCACTTTTGTTCTTTCCAGTTCACATCTAACAGCATATCAATCTAGTTTGCTGGATGAGGATCCCTTACTTAGTTATAATGTCAATGTTTGTGTATCTGTCCAGATGGACACTCTTGATGGGTATGATTCTTGTTTTCAAGTCATTTTTCCACAAGATGTTCTTCGGCTACGAACTGAAACCCGTCAGAAAGCCCAAGAGTGGATGGATGCTATTATATCTGCTGCTAATGCTGCTCGACAAGAAGATCAGCATCTGCTTGTGCCTCTTAGGAACAACCCCAAAGAACATCCATCACTTAGGGAGCTGCAGAGGAGCAAACGCCAGTCTGTAACCTCAAGTTTCCTTGGTATCTTGACAACATTGGCTTTGGAGAAAGGTCTCACTGCCCAAAGCTTCAAGTGTGCAGGTAAAAGAATGTTTAATGTCTAAGATTAATCAAAATGAACAAGTCATGATACAAGTTCATCAGCCAAGCCAAACACAGTGATCTGCAATCTATTTGGCCTAAATATGTAACAGAGTTCCGTTATTTTACATGGAAATCTTAAAAAAGTGTCAATTTTCTAATAGGGAAGTTTATTGATCCCTAAAAAAAGATAACTATAACTGATGGTATTGGCAATATATATATATATATATATATATAATACAATATATTATCAATGGAATAACAATAATCATAAAGGGCTTAGGTTTACAGATTTGTTAAAGTGTATCTAGAGCCAAGAACAAAAATTACCATGTTATTTGATGTGGTGGCTGCATTAGTTTTTTTTTTTTTCATCCCGTGATCCTGCCAGTAACACACTTCCAGTCCTAGGATGACAACACCCACTCACTGTACTGTATCTTTGGAGGAGCACCCTGGGGCAGAACAATAGTACACCTCCCTCTCTTCTCTGTAGCATAGGGGGAGATGTTCTGTAGTTTGATAACACTCTGCAAAGGCAAAGAGCACAGAAAGTTAACAGCTCATAGGATTTCTGGCAGGAAGAACAGTGATTTTGTGCATTTATTGAATATATATTGTAAACAAAATGCTTTCAATGGATTTAAGAGACCAAAGGCAAAAGTTTGTTAGTTTTACATACACTTTAAACTAGGATGGTTTATACCCACTAAGTCAGTTGTTCATGTTCCAATTATCAATGAGCCTAACAAGTATAGAAAACCTTTTTGTATTTCTTTCTATCCTAAACTCTTTTAATATGTGATTAGTGTTACTAAACCAACCTTGATTATTAGGTTGACAGAACTTTGCATTCATACATGAACACACACTCATATCCACTGCTCATGCACTTTTAGTCTGCTTAAAGGAGAAGTCTAGGGAGAGTACAATGAACCCTTCCCACTACTTAGAGCCGGTGTGGGGAAAACTGCTGCTGTCACATGCTGGCCCTATATACCAAGAGCTGAGTGATCGTGTAACTGCTGAGCTCACAGCTAAGCTCGCACCTTCTTCCTGCAGAGAACAGTGACTGTCAGTAACCGCTCCACGCAGGGATTCCTTCCTCCCATCTTTGTTACTCCAGAGCTAATTGAATGCACACACAGGTGAGGGGGCGGGGACTGCTGATTCTGGCTCTAGAATGGCAGAGCCAGCTGTCAATCAGACAGGTGGATCCCAACAACATTGTCAGGATCCTTCCCAGGTGCAGCGCGTCAGCCTATAGAGGGATATAGCTATTAGTGAACATATTCCTGTGACCCATAGGGGAAGTAAAACCAAACCGAAAGGTTTGGCTTTTCTTCTCTTTTAAGATGAGTATATTTGGTTAGAATTTCATACCGTTTGGACAAAAAAATCTCATCAGAACATTCACTAATGCTATCAGGAATTTGACAAATGGTGTTTGAAATTTCGCTGTGTTTTAAAGGAGAACTATGGGGTCAGTGTTTTCCCCCATAGTTCTCCTTAGGGTAACGGGACGACACAAACTAGCGTCCTCCCGTTACCCTAAGCTCAGTATACCGCGAGCTGTAGCTGTATACTGAGACGCCGCAGCCTGAGCGGATCCCGACGTAGATGACGGGATCCGCCCAGCTGCGTGAGTGACAGCTGGCTCTGCCTATCTAGAGGCAGAGCCAGCTGTACCCGCCCCCTCCCCCGTCCGTTCCACCAGTCAGCGCTGGCAGATCGGAGAGGGGAATCCAGCCCCTCCCCCTGTCACGGCAGAGAGCAGTGACAGGATCGAGAGGTGAGCGAACCTGGTATGTGTTTGCTCACCTCCCGATCTTCTGAGCCGACCTGTGACAGTCTCATTGTCACAGGTTGTCTAGAACTATGAGGTGAGTGGAAATCACTCATCTCATAGTTCTCCTTTTAACATTCGATTTTAGAAATCATTGGAGTTTCACAAATGAAAACCACATTCAGTGTTAGAATTTCTTTTGTCCGAGAAAATGTTTCCATTATGCTCCTTCGTTGTTTTTTCATCAAACGTTTATCAATTTGACCGCTATTCGATCGAATCTTGTGAAAGAGACCATTTTTAAATTGAATTCTAACCATGTACACTCAGCTTTATGTCTTATGAATTGCCATACATGACTCAGTACTTGTGTGCTGTGTGATAGATTTGAGTATTGCTATCGGCACTTGGGAGAGAATGAAGCCATATAAGACATCCCTAGAGTGTAATAATGAGTATTTCTATGTTTCAGCACCTTGTGTTATATCATATAAGTGATCGTTGTAATATGTCTGTACAAAAGGATATTAAAGTGACATTAAAGGCTATTTTTTACCCCTCCCCCAATGTTAGTGTCAGGACTTACCTTAAATCATGTCTCTTAATCCAATCATCTTCTTCTTTAGTGTAGTTTTCATATGTCCCTCCAGCGCTCGTGCGGGTCCCCGATCCAGCTCTGACTCCTCTGTCCTCTTCTCTGATGTTCCACGGAGTCTGTGCGGGTGCACGCTGCTCCATAGACTTACCTTGTGTCTCTCCTCATCTCCCGGCCGAACATCTAAACTGCGCATGCACCAGCCCCAAGATCCTTTGCGGCCGCCCGAGACATTTTTAGATTTTCGGCCGGGAGCGCGCAGTGGAGACACAGGTAAGTTTAAACCCGTTTGAAAGTTTTTTGTTTTTAAAAAAAAGTTTTTGCATATATCTACTGCTTGCTAGCAGTAGATATATGCAAACACATGTGAGTGTTTAATAACCCTTTAATTATTGTATGGAGAAAAGTAAACTGAGCCTGTCACTTTCTATGCATACATGCAGCCTGCACCTGAAATGGGGAATAAATGGATGCAGGTCTTTGCAGCACAAGGATGTTCTCAATGACAGGCAGATGTCTTCATATCTGTTTTTCCTCTGACGATGTATACCCAACTAAAGGTGCACATACACTGCACGATTCTCGTACGAGAATCGCAGGAAATCCCGCGATCGTACGAGAATCGTGCAGTGTATGGAAGGCATGCGACCGTTTCTACTGTACGGTCGCACGTCTTCCATCGAACCAGCATGTTTGAAAACCCGCCGGGAATCGTACGATTCTCGGCGAGTTGGTGGCCTGCTGGTTCGACAACTGCCGAACGGGCCGGTGTGCGCACGCGCACACTGCCCGTTTGCAGTCAGCGTAAGCCCGCCCCTCATTACAGTCTTCGCAAGCCCGCCCCTCAGGGGGCGTGGCTTGCGATGATCGAGAGTGCGATCTGCCCGTCCAAGATGGGCAGATCGTACGTTTTTTTAATCCCTTTACAACCATCGCAAGACTAAGGTCTTGCGATGGTTGTACAGTGTATGGCACACCTTTTCTACTGTACGGCCGCACGTCTTCCATCGAACCAGCATGTTTGAAAACCCGCCGGGAATCGTACGATTCTCGGCGAGTTGGTGGCCTGCTGGTTCGACAACTGCCGAACGGGCCGGTGTGCGCACGCGCACACTGCCCGTTTGCAGTCAGCGTAAGCCCGCCCCTCATTACAGTCTTCGCAAGCCCGCCCCTCAGGGGGCGTGGCTTGCGATGATCGAGAGTGCGATCTGCCCGTCCAAGATGGGCAGATCGTACGTTTTTTTAATCCCTTTACAACCATCGCAAGACTAAGGTCTTGCGATGGTTGTACAGTGTATGGCCACCTTTAGACTAGTCTGCTACATTGTCACCAGATGCTCTTATTTAATTAGCATTCAATCCTGTATATGTGTGATGCCGCTGTAAATGCATTTTAGATGCTTTTCAAGGCTGGTAATTTTGATTGGCGCTAACCCATTGCTTTCTATAAATTGTGTTTTCATGACTGTAGATAAGCAATGTGCATTGTGTATTAAGGTTTGTTTAAGGTTTGTGTCTTTACCGGTCTAAAGACCTATGGTGGTTTCCCGATCAGAATAGCCTAATGTTCTCTTTTGGTTGCATCAATATCAATAAAGACTTACGTAGGGTATACACTGGACGAATTTCGCACGAACGTTCATCTGAAAGATCTTGTCGGAGCGTTCGATAATGCCATCAGAGACTTGCCGAATGTTGTTCGAAATTTTATTTGATTCTCATTTTGATTTAACATTTGATTTTGGAATGAATGGAGTTTCATGAACGAAAACCATATTCACTGTTAGATTTTAGTTCGGTCAAGAAGTTTTCAACATGCTCCTTGGATTTTTTTGTGACTACGGTTGAAATTGATCCTTGATTTAACCCCATATACTATTAGAAAGTCAATCGAACATTCTAAAATGGATTTAGTTTATACAAAATTTGTTTAGTGTATATAAGCGGTCTCAGAATACCGGCCCGCGTGTGCTGGGGGGAAGTATATTATGTGTGCTGGTGGGCAGTATATTATGTGTGCTGGGGGGCAGTATATTATGTGTGCTGGGGGGCAGTATATTATGTGTGCTGGGGGGCAGTATATTATGTGTGCTGGGGGGCAGTATATTATGTGTGCTGGGGGGCAGTATATTATGTGTGCTGGGGGGCAGTATATTATGTGTGCTGAATTAGGGATTCCTGTGTCACAAACTTGCGTTTTCCTGCTGCAGGAATCCCTAATCTGGCGTTTACATGCAGCAACCGTCACCCATTCAAGTTAATGATCGGGTGACAACCGCTGCATGTACACGCCTGCACACCGCATGTAATTGTATGTGATATGATTACATGCAGCTACAAAAACAATCACTATCTCTGGATACACAATTTTGTATCCAGAGATAGTGATTGATTCCTAACTGCATGTAATCCTTTCACATATGATTACATGCGGTGTGCAGGCGTTTACATGCAGCAGCTGTCACCCGATCATTCATTTGAATGGGTCACAGTTGCCGCTTGTAACATGCACACATTAACACTGGTACCGTATATAGTAGCGGCCCCCACGGGACTAAAAAATGCGTCCAGTGGCCCCCGACTAAATTGAGTTTGAGACCCCTGGTGTATATGGTA